AGGAAGCCTGTGGGACACACTTAAATGTAAAAATATCTGTGTTGTAGGGCTACCTGAAGGAGAAGAAGGGGAACAAGAAGTTGAAAGCTATTTGAAGGAAATAATGATGGAAAAATTCCCTAATCTAGTGAAGGAAATAGACATACAACCCCAGGAAGCTCAGAGAGTCCTAAAAAAGAGGAACCCAAAGAGGCCCACACCAAGACACATTATAATGAAAATGCCAAAAGTTAAATACTGAGAATCTTAAAAGCCGCAAGAGAAAAGCAGTTAGTTACCTATAAGGGAGCACCCATAAGACTGGCAGCTGATTTCTCTAAAGAAACTTTGCAAGACAGAAGGGCCTAGATGGATCCAGAGGGCACTGTACTGAATGAAAAAAGGTAGATAAAGGATATATGTCGCATGATTTCACGTACATATGCAATCTAAACTACAAAATCAACAACAAAAACAGAAATAAACTCATAGGTACAGAGAATATTTTGAGGGCTACTAGATAGGAAAAGGGTTGGGGGGATGGCGAAAAAGGACAAAGGGAGTAAGAAGTACAAATGGAAAGTTCCAAAATAGACATGGAGATATAAAGTGTAACATATGGAAAATAATAATGTTTTAATAAATATGTCATGAGGAAGAAGTGTACTAGATTTGGTGGGGTGATCACTTTGTGAGTTATATAGATCTCTAATCACTATGCTGTATAACTAAAACCAATATATTATTGCCTGTCATCTACAATTGACCAAAAAAAATAAAAATAAAAAGTAAAAACAAAATATCATTGAATTGTACAATGTAAATATGAGCACCTAATTGTCTATTATATTTCAACAAAGCCGGGGGTGGGGAAGTGGGAAGGTACTGGAAGTTCTCACCAGAACAAGCAGGCAAGAAAAGTAAATAAATGTTGAAAGATGAAATAAAAAACGTAAAATTCAATTTGAGTTTTATACACTGACAAAGAACAATCCTCTAGACAATTCCATTACATTACCGTATCATAATACAATAAGCAAAATAAAGTTAAATTAATATAAGCAATAAAATAAGGTAACAAAAATGAAATGAAATAGAATAAAAAATTTAAACCCTTATGTATAACCTTACACAAGGAGGGAAAGATCTGTGTACTGTCAATGAAAAGCAATACTGGAAAAATGTAGACAAGACATAGACAAAGGCACAAAGATATTCCAAGTTTATGGACAGGAAGACAATATTGTTAAGGTGTCAATAGTAGCCAAAGTAATCAACAGATTCAATGTAATATTTAGGAAATTTACAACAGCTTGTTTAGAAGAAATACAGAAATCCATCTGAAGGTTCAAATGGAATGTCAACACTCTCTAATTGAAAAAAGACTTAAGAAATGAAAATAAAGCTCACAGTTCCATATTTAAAAATCTGTTACAAAGCTAAACTAATCATAATGTTGTACTAGAATAAAGATAGAGAACAGCAGAAAAGAACAGAGAGAGGAGTCAGAAGTAAGATGAGGTAGATGAAACCAAATGATACTTCATAGGGTTGTCAAGATCACTCAATGGAAAAAAAAAAGGCTATTCAACAAAAGGTGTTGATAAAACAGGATATAAATATAAAAAAGAATTTTGAACAATTCCTTACACCACATGGAAAACCAGAGTAAACACAGATAAATTGAACTATGTCAAATTAGAAACTACTGTGCATCAAAGACACAGTCAATCGAGTAAAAAGCCAATCCATGGAATAGGAGAAAATACTTGGAAATCATATATATTAGAGAACAGTTTACTTACTATGTCACTGATTTATGGAGAAAGAATAAAGGCAAGAACGGACAGATGAAGACATACATTGAGAAACTTATGGGAGAAGGGCCAGAAGCTCCCACGCCTCTGGCAACATTCCACTCTCCCCAGTCACCACAGATTCACTAACCTGCAACACTCTCCTTTTGGGTTTTAGGGAGGTCTCATTACATAGGAATAACTGATTAAATCACTGACCATTGGTGATGAAACTCAATCTCTAGCCTTTCTCCCCTCCTAAGAGGTCACAGGGTGAAACTATAGTTCCGACCCTTTAATTCCATGGTTGGCTCCCCTGACAACCAGCCTTCCAGTTGTTGGGGATTTCCAAAGTCACCTCAGATACAGAGATGTGACTGAAAGGGGCTGGTTATGAATAAGACCCCTATTTCACCTCTAAGGCCCTGAAGAGACTGTAGGATATGAGGACAAGAGACCACGTGTTGTAACAGGAGATGACCCCATTGCTCTCACTGCGCATGGAATTCCAAACCTTTGGGGCCTGGGGACTAAGGCCATATATATATATATTTATAATCATAAATCACAGTATCAATTAACTTCTACACTCAAGGTGAACAATCAACCCACACACCTTGATTAAAAGTGGGCGAAGGATGCGAGCAGACATTTCTGTAGAGACCATGTACAAAAACATGAAGAGATGGTCAGTACAACTAATCGTGAGGAAATGCATATCTCAACCACGATATTGCCAGACTCCCATTATGATGGCTACTATCGGAACAACTAAAAATAACACGAGTCAGAGAGGATGTGAAAAAATGGGAATTCTTATGCACTGCTGCTGGGAAGGTAAAACGTGTTAGGTGCTATTGAACCCAGCAGGGCAGGTCCTTGAAAAGCAAACAGTGAATTACCATCCCCTATAGACTGAACGTGGTATCTCTTTTCGAGTTCCAATGCTGAAATCCTCCAAATGACAACGGTGAGCTTGTGGGAGGCAACTGGGTCACGAGGGCAGATCCCTCCTGAGGAGCAGTAGTGCCCAAGCACTCAACATGGATTCGAATGGAAAGAAAGATGGGAAAAAATCATCTTCATGTGTTTGCTTAAAAATGTTATTTACAGAACTTTAGAAATTTTGCAGAAATTACAGGTTCTATAAAGAACAACGGGAAAGAAGTTTCAAAAATGAAAAAAATGGGGTAACTTTCCTATAAAATACAATAGAATATTTAAGCATTAATACAGTATACCAACATAGACACGATGGTTCAAGACAGGGTGAGTATTATTAGAAAAGAATAGTTGCATCAAGACATAAAAACGCAGTGATACTTACAATACACTCAACAAATTATAGAAAATTGAAAACATTCTATGGAAACACCAATAACTCTCATACAACCATGACAAATTTAATGTGCCTGGGATTAAGAATGGGGCATAAAAATTATCTACATAGTCTCAAGGCACTGGAAATTCCCAATTCAAAATGTGTACTGAATCTAATTGAAAAAGGAGTAACTTAATATGAGGTACTAAGTCAGGTGAAAAGAAGTGGAAAAATTAATTAAGAACATCTTTTTAAAATATTCTAAAATAAGTTTAGGATCAGGGACAAGGGCTGAGGCACCATACCCACCACACGAAATACTGTCATATATATCAAACAATGTCTGTTGCCCAATGCCACCCTCTCACACAGAAAATATAAAACACTAGAGTCATCAAACATATAAAACTGATGACAAGGTAAAACTCAAATTCATTTACAATGCATAGGAATCTATAACATGAAAGAAGCAGTGGCTTAAACGAAAACAAATGATGGTAACTTCACGGAAGCATCATTCAACTTCCTAAGGTCCCTAAACAAGATGCTTCAAAACTGTACCCACTGAGGCAGCGTGCAGAGTGACACACAGGGGATGAGAACCGTGGCATGAATGATAGCTTAGCCAGTAGCCTCAAAGATAAGAGGCTGTGAACTTGGATAATGTTCTCGCAGGAGAACTTCTACCCTGTTTAGTACGTGTGTGTGTGAGTGTGATCAACATGATCACAGTGTTCCGGAGAGATGCTTACTGACATTCCGGAAACTGCAAAGAAAATTGAAAACACGTATCAGTCAGGCTGTCTTGGTGTCCTGGGACATACTGACTGCTCTACGGAGCAGCAGAGCAGCTCCTAGTGCAGCTTCAGTGCATAGCGGGATAATACTGAAACATATAAGTCAACGTATCTCCATCAAGCATTTTCCATGACTGCAGACACTCACTCCATAAGAAAGCCCACCAGGAGTTGTCCATCCCCTATAGGTGGATACCAGCGAAGGATGGTGAACTATCAGACCATAGCAATGTATAGTTCATGGGCAAGGTTCAGAAGCAAATCATGCAAACTACAAATATGAAATCTGGAAGAGTCTATATTCCCAGATGAGGTAGTGAGGTGCAGAGAGAGGAGTACGAGGAATGGGGTAAGACACTGCTGGATTGTGAGGGGAACGTGTGCGCCACCACAGACACCATGCTATGATCCTGAAAGATTGAAATGAGCTCCCAGTATAGGACTGGGAACTGAAGAGACGCTCTGTTTGTCCACTGTCTCTAGTGATTTCCTAATAACAGGTACAGAAGATCCTACCCACCTCCCTGTGACACATACCTGTGAAGTGTGAAGAAAAAGCAGAAGGGGTGTCTGAGGGTCCGGAACAGGTGACAGAGCACCAGCGAGCCCTGTCTAGAGCACAGAATGGAACGAACAGACCTTCCAACCACAGGAAACGGGGATGGGACTGGAACTGGTCCAGGGGGTAGGACTGCAAGGCCTCAGCTCTGCTCTGTACAGACTGAGAACTGAGCACCCGATGAAACCCAGTCCAGAAGGTGAGACCAGGGGACAGAGACTGTGTGACAGCTCGCCCCAAACTCCTGAACTCAAGGAACCAAAGACATCACAGGGGTCACAGATCAGTGTGTTGTGAGTACAATGAAGACTCTGCCTTCCTCTGTTGGAACTGCAGCCCCACTGAGGGTGAAAGGATACATTTCATACCCTGAAGGACAGAGTGGGAAGCTGGAAAGAAGAAAACATTTTCTTTGAGGGATCGCCAGAAATAAAATTCTGTTTGCCCACAGAACTTTCTTGCTTGGGCGGGTCTGCAAACACTATGAAGACTGCGTACTCCTCTCCCCCTTCTGAGCTCTTACCTGTGTTCACGCCTTCGATATGTTCCCGCCAATTTGGCTCTTGTGGTATTTTCCACTCGCTCTCCAGAGTCCAGGGTGCTTTCCCTTGCTCCAAAATGGAGACAATATACAGATCAGACACAGAAATTCCTGCACGTAAGAAGAAAGGAGCATCAAGATCTGTATTCTTCCAGAATCCACAATCTCCGTTTAAATGAGGAATGAAAGCAGTACAAATGATTCAAAAACAAGATTCCCAATCCATCGACTCTTCATCTTCTTCTGTGTATAGGGACCAGTGTCATATGCAGATAGGAACTCTCTTCCAAAAGCTACTGAATCAATACATGGGGATAGGAATCAAAGAATTAAGTATTTTAAATTTGCCACAGGGCTTTACACAAACTAAGCCCCAGAACAACCTCTAATGTGTCACAAAGTGGGCAGATCATCTGAAGAAAGGGCGAGGCTAAAGTCCTGATGCCACCTTATCAAGTCTTTCATGTCTCAGTAAATGGAGCTTCGATCTCTGTCACGCAAGGGAAAAGGATGAGACATGCTGGACAGATCCTGACCTTGGAGGGAAGTCATCCTCACCCAGGAACAGCAGGTTCCGGTAGCTCTCCAACATCACCTCCCTGTACAAGGCCCGCTGAGCTGGTGACAGGCATTTCCACTCCTCCAGAGAGAATTCTATGAACACATCGCCGAGTGTCAACCGTCCCTGAAAGTTAATACATTTCAGCAAGGGGAAATGGTGACAGTTCTTATCTACGCACAAAAGAGAAGGGCAGAGAGATGTAAAATTCAAGTGCAGAGTTCTGAGAGATCCACATCAGATATTTTTCAGCAAGTTATGTGTAATGTTGGTTTACATTACTTTCCCGTAAAAGGTTATGATAGTACAGAAATCAGGGAGGGCCTCTCATTTTTGCAAATAATTCTTGAAATTACAATTAAAATTCAACACTGAGTGTCTACACAGAAGGGTTAGATGTTCTACACACTGAGTGACACTCAGTGTCTAGATGAGCTAGAGCATGAGCAGTGTTGTAAGAGATGACAAAGTCCACAGCATCTTTTAAAAAATTCAGACTCTTAAATTGTGATGAAAATAGCCATGACAAAATGTTTTAGAATATGTCCTATGTGCATTAGTCTAAATGCTTTACATATTTTAACTTGTTATCAACATAACAGCTCACTACAGACAAACCTGTTCCCATTTTACAGAGGAGAAAAAAATGTCACAGACATTCAAAAATTTCAACTCAGCTCAAATTCTAAGATTTGATCAAGCAAACACCTGAACTCAGGTGCTGGGGTTTAGACGGAACCTAAAAAAACAAAAGTTACATAACAGACAAGACTTTATAGGTACACTATCAAAGCATTCTCTTGAGAAAACTTGAAACAAGTTCAAGGTTAACAACACTGAGATACATATTAAGGTCATTACGTTTGCATGTGCACGCGCACGCGCACGCACATAACGTGATATTTTTGCTTCTAGCGAAAACTAACATGAAGTTGAAGAAGAAAATTTAGATCATGGAATATGTTTTAGATATCATAACTGTTATAAAAATGTAAAACTTAAGAAATGGTATTGAGGAAATTTCAGGAATTTTCATTTAACAGCTTTCTATTTCTGTAAATATGCTTGCTTTCTGCCGATAAACTTGCTGCATCCAAGGGCTTCTGTAAGAGCGCCCTTGCACTTTACTCAATTGGTGAATTTAACTTTGCACTTCAGCAGCTCTCATTTTCTGCAACAATTTGTTTACTGGTTACCATAGCAACTCTAGCCCTTCTGCTATGTAACTACTTGAAGTCTGCATAGTAACTCCTGCTGTATGTAACGGTTTGTGTTCTATCTGTCCAATCAGCTTGTGTAAAGTTTTCCTATACAAAGAATGTTTCTACCGAGTACACTAGATCTTCAGAGCACTAGCTCCTCTGGGACCGCACATAATAAATCCGATTTCTCCTTCTCTCCGAGTTACTGCTTGGTTTTTCGTTAGATTGGTTTTGGGAATTTCCCACAACATTTTTAGAGGCCCCAGCGAGATTCCAACCACGCTGGCCCCTTGAGCTGCTGGTCTGGCGGGTCAGCCAGACCGAGACGGATGGGAACTGAGACAACTGAGGAGACGTGTCACCTAAATATTTTGGGTTCTCTTTCGTATCAGCGTCCCGACTCTCAGGACGGCTGAGCTGCTCAACTAAAGTCCGCTCATAGGAGGGAAGGACCAATTCACCAGGAACGGCTGCAGGAGGAAAAGGTACCAAGGTAAGATCAAAGAGGCAGCGCCAGGTTAGAGCAAGAGGAAGTACACAAGGTAGGATTAAAGGGAGCAAACTAGCTAAGTCAGTCAGGTCCCAGAACAGCCCCAAAACAGCCCCTCTGTCTGAGGAAAGAGGAGTAGGAACACCTCCTGAAAGTCTTCAGAGCGAAGACATTGGTCAGGGAACCTGTGGTGTAATTGCCAGGTTCATCAGGAGTCTCTATGGAGGCAGAGACCAGGAGGAGTCTCCCCAGTGTGGGAGGCGTCAGGTTGAGGGACGGACCCACTAGCTGAGGGTAAACCCTACACGTATACTGGTGGGGAGGGGCAATGTTTTAACCTGATGTATGATTGTATAAGTGAATGAGCAGCTTGACCGGCCTGATCTGTCAGGTACGAGTTTGTAGCTCCACGGCTGGGCACCCTTAAGGTCCCCTAAAGGCCACGGAATTCATTTGGGCTCACTCTGCAGGTCCGTGGTGAACGGCAAATGATCTATGGTGGCATCGGACTAGCGCCCAATTGTAAGTCACAAAGCTGAGTCCACTACAGCTAAGTGTCACTTAAGTTCCCCGTGAGGAAACACAGCCAGGTGAGTACCTGAATGGCCTCCCCTTCGGAGAAGGCACCCCAGTCTTGTTTGTCTTTGCGTCACTGTCGCAGTGTGAGAAGACTTTGATCAACACTAAGAAAATGGGGGAGTTCCATCACCCTCCGGAGAGCAACCAGGCGCCGTCTGCAAATTAAAAGGAGCGGCTGCTTGCTCTCCAACGCACATTGTTAAGGAATGGTGGGAGGTTGCACGAAAGACAGTGAGTGCTGACTGACTGAGATGTGGCCTGCCACGAAGCGAGAGTTGAGCTCGCGGTTCTGTGGTGATCCTCATATGGTTTACAGTGGTCCCACTGGACCTCCGTGAGGCATCTACTCCAGTGGTCCAGGTTAGGGGTTTATACCGACCCACCAATGCTAAGAGGCGCCTTAAATTCCCACAAGGGAAGTGGCCAGAGATGGATGAAGCATGTGGTGTCCCCTCCAATTTCCTGACCCTTCCACATTCCTCCTTTTGTGGCGTAATTGTTGTCTGTCATGGGAGGTGCAGGAAGTACCTCAGATCTGTATGAAGGAATAAAGAAAGTGTTAAAGTAGGTTTGCGAAGAGAATTGAAGGAAAGGAAGGGCTGGAACCAGAAGGAATGAGAGGAAAGTGTTTTTGGCAAAAAAAGGTATAAGGTCTGGTGACTTATCTTGAAGGAAGAAGGAAAGGTGTTTGCCTCAGAGTTGGCTATTGCTGAAGGAGTGAAGAGGCAAACTGAAGGAATTAGCGAAAGAAGGTTCGCAGAAGTAGGTTTGTGAAGGGAAACTCTGAGAGGAATTTTATAAGAGGAAGAGTATAAAAGAAAGTTTTGGGAAGAGATTCCGAGGAGAAATCTTATGAAACAAAGCAAAACGAGGTTGAAAATTTAAATGCCGAAAGTAATCCGATGCAAGACTGGAATTGTGTTCCCATGTTTCTTAGAGTATCGGTGTGCTGCTAATGTTATGAGGTTTTCTGACTAAAGAATAAGGATTCTGTACTATGTCAAAATTAATTTCGGTGTCTTACATTGCTTTAACCAGGTTTCTGGGAAGCTTCCTGCAAATATGGGATGAGGTTCTTCTAAGTCAATTGTCTTAAACTATATGTTGCAAAATTTTAAGGAAGGCTTCTCAGAGGAGTATAGGGTCAAGCTGACCTTGGGAAAACTTCGTATTCTTTGTGAACTTGAATGGCCCGCTTTAGGGGTAGGCTGGCCCTTGGAAAGGACCCTAGAGGCCTCCCGACAGTGAGAGCAGTGTATCGGATAGAGGCAGGGACCCCAGGATATCTAGACCAAATTCCGTACATAGACACGTGGCTGCAGACCACTATTATGGTGTTCTCTTGGGTCTGGTTCGGCGCAAATAGGCAGGGACAGAATAAGGAATTTGTGGCCCAATCGGCTAAGCAAAAAAACAAGGTGTCAGCAAAATTAATCCACCAAGGGGGCCTTGAGAAAGAAACTATCTTCCAACAGCTGTACACCCTAGTAGCTCCATCAGTACCCGCGAGGCCACTTTACTATCAGTTGCTGGACAGGCCTCCACCATCAGTGCCTACACTGCCCCCTACCACCCCAAAGCCCCGGGTTGGCACCATGCCCTCCATCAGGTTTACGTTCAACTCCTCAGATCACTCCACCTGGTGTGTAGGGCTGATGTTTCACAAGGAAGCACAGACTCAATTCCAGGGCCAGCTCCATGATACGTTTCTAGTCTGTGACTCCTCCACCTTCCCCAGGGACTATGTGCTGTCTGTGTCCAAGAATGCGCGCTTTTCCCACTACCTCATCAACTCACTATCCAAACACTGTTTTAAGATCAGAAACCCAGAATATGACAATTTGCTGGCCTTGTTAGAGTTTTATAAAACTCTACGTGAACACCACGACCCTGATAGAGCCCACTCCCAGGTATCTAAGGGCATTGGAATATGTACAGACTCTCTATGACTTTCCTAGGAATAATACTGAAGACCTGCCCTTTAAGAAGGGTAAGATCCTAGTGATAATAGAAAAACCTGAAGAACAGTGGTGGAGTGCCCAGAACAAACATGGCCAGGTTGGAATGCTTCCTGTCCCTTTTGTTAGAAAGCTTGTGAGATTCCCATTACAGGGAAAACATTATGAAAAGTCCAAATTAGAGGTAAAAGATGGGACTAGGAAGTCAACAAATATGTCAAAAATGACAGAGATACTTCAAAGGCCAGAAGAATTGCCCACAGAGCTTTATGAGAGACTGTGCAATGCATTCCGAGTGTATATTCCTTCTGACCTTTTTAACCCCAATACACGAGAGAACCAGTACATGGTCAATGCAGCATTTGTAGCTCAATCCTTCGCTGACATCCACTGCAAGTTTCAAAAAGTAGAGGGCCTTGCTGAGATGAATAATACCCAGCTACTGGAAGTTGCAAACAAAGTGTTTGAGAACCGTGACCAGGAGCCCAGGAGGTAGCTGGCAAATGGATGAAACAGAAGGCATCCCTGTTGGCAGCTGTGTGGGGAAATCCAGGTCTAGCACAACTGACTGCTACCCCAACACAGAAGAGAGAAGCCAAAAGGAGACTTCCACTACGCCGCAACCAGTGTGCCTACTGCAAAGTGGCTGGACATTGGAATAATGAGTGCCCCTACTGCGAGAGAACACCTTAAGGAATAGAGAATTCGATCAACCTTGTAAAGGAAAAAAATAGCCTAAGCCAGCTGTCCAAGAACTTATTGGCCTGGCTGAAAAACAATCAGACTAAGAACGACTGGGCTCCCTGATCCTAGGCCCCCAGGATCCTACAGTCACAACAGAAATAAGGGACCAAGTAGTGACTTTTATGGTGAACATTGGGGCACAAATCACCTTTACCTTAGGGAAGCCCACCCGTCTCACACTAAGGGGCCAGCCTGCTTTAATGATGGCTGTGATTGTGCCAAGGAAGAACAGGTGAATCCAGCCAGTCTACTCAAAGAGTTCTCTATTGTCTAGGCAGAAAATGAGG